CGAACGAATAGAGAAAACTGAAACTATACTATAAAGAATAATTTCTCAGTCTTTTTTAACTTTAAATGGAAAGTTAAACCTTTTAATACAAGTAATACATATCTCAGTGTGTCTCAGGAACTCATTTGATATATCTAAAAGATTTGAGATAGCATGGAAGCGATCACTGAAAACTTTCTATTTAGTATTCGCTTTAATATATAATGGAAGATTTTAAAGCTATACAGACAAGTATTCACAAGTATAAATTCAGCGATCAAATTGATCTGTAAAGTTATCACAGTAACTGTTGATTAGATAACCAGGTTCCGAGAACAGCAGGGCCTGCGCCCCAGAGCTGACAACCAATTGCTAATCAGCACTTCCAAAAGAGAGTCAAAAGTAAATTCTTACTGGCTACAACAATAACCATAAATAACTGTGTAAGTTAATAATAATCAAACCCATTAAACATTCCAAAATTCAATGCCTAGAATGTTTTCGTACTTGAATTATAAAATTTTAGAGTTAATATTGATTTTTTTTTGGAAAGTTGTAAATTATTTTTGCAGAAAACATCAATTCACTAAAAGTATCTGCTATATACGTTATTTGTTCATGTATTATTTATTTAAAATAAATTGCATTAAGTTTTAACAAATTCTTATAGATCGAATTCTTCTTGATCTTGTACTGTAAGAACAATAAAAGAATTAATATTTTAAGCACTATAATTCATAACATATTGTTGGACATATAAATCAAACTTTTATATATGTACAATTAGAGTTATCAAAAACTATATGCTCGCATATATATGTCTGAGGCGCATGGCGAAATAAAATATATTTTTTCATGTATGGTGATTTGTTTAATATTTAAATAATAATGTTTCATCAGCTCATGCAAAACGATTGAGGCAAGAAAAATATAATCCATATATAGTTTTAATATGTTTTAATCTAACTTTTAAGAGTGTGTTTCAGTTGATAAATATTTAGCTTCATATAAGCTAAAGTGGATAAGTGTTTTTTAACAAGCCTCTTTGTTTCATATTAATCCTATTGTAGAACACATTCATGGATTTGACGCCCATTTTATTGTGTCCTTGTTCTACATTATTTTCATATGCAGAACACATTCTTTGATTTAATGCACATTGTATTGTCTCTTTACTCCACGTTATTCTTTAAATGCCCATTGTATTTTCGGATGATTAATATGCTTTTCAAGTGGACTTCATGCAGGTGACATACGTCCACTGAAATCAACATTCCTATTACATTTCATATACATTGCGCATATGCTAAACAGTAACGAAGCTGATGTGATGCAGTTTATTTCATTTTCTAATAGCTACGGAAAAAATCATTAAAGATGATATTTAATCACGTATTATGATTTTCAAATAAATAGTTAATCGTCCACATACCTACAATTGCGCTTACTAAAACACACTAGCCCGAAAACCACTAAAATAATACGAACCTCACTCATATTGTAATATTCTGTAACTATCAATACAAACCCAAAGGTGGTCTTCCAAAACATAATGGTAGGTACCAAATTATTCAATTTACCAAGATATAAAATTATCTTTTAAAAAACGGTAAAAATGTAAATTTAACATTTTATTAAAAGAATACGCAATCATACCTATGAATTAGCTACTTAGTCGAAGCTTCTATAGACAGTATTCTAATTATTTCTGTCATTATAATCTTCCATTACAAAATTTAAAGATTCAAAAGATAAATTGTAGACAAAACATTCTACAAACAAATATTTTATGATTCAATATAATTAAAATGTGCGTTTAAAAACATATACTGTGTATGAAGTGAAATGTTCACAACACCAAACTGACTTGTCAGGAATGTACTACCCACTAATACTGGTAAATTTTGAAAATACTGTTATATTTTTTTCTTCTTTTCATGACTGTGGTTCGTTTCTGTACTATACAGAGTTTTTTATATGAATATTGGGATTTTTAGAATCACCTACACAAATGTGATATGCTATGAAGTCCATATGATCCTGCTAAATAAATAAATAATAATATAAAAATAAATTCTTTAATACCCTACACACACAAAAAGAAATATTATAAATAAATTATTTCTTTTCTATAGTTTTTAGAAATATATTGAAAATATATTTTTTACATTAAAGTTAATTAAAGTTCTATGTAAAAACACACATTTTCTGGATTAGCATGATAGAAGATCTGTCAGTCAGAGTTGATTAAAAATTAAAGGATTAAAAACTAAGGAATAAGTTTGACTTCCAAAATAAAAACAAACGGATAACACCTATTCCATTTGTCTTGTTATATTAAAAATTTATAAAATAATTATTAGATATTTATAATTGGATTCTGGAGAAACTACTATCATTACAATTACTATATTTTTTAAAATTTATAAAAAGAATTTTTTATTACGTTATGTTATTATTCGACGAGATATATTTTGTTATATTTTATTTTTATATTAACATAAAAAAAAAAAACAAAGAAAAATAAGAACTTATGAAGTTAAATAGCAGAAATAAAAAAATAAATATATTTAAATAAAGTTTTACCTACGTATTATAAAAATATTAAATACTTTTATTAAATATTTTGTTTTGTATATTTTACAGATCTGAACGCTATGGCAACACCATTCGATCTTGACACTCACATTTTGTTGCATTACACCATAAACTCATTAAATGTGTACAATAGTGTAATGCACTGAGAAAAATTACTTGGTTAAATTCTTATTAGATTTTTTAATTTCAAACCATACAAGATTATTTCAATACAATAGAAGCATACATCATTTCTGTATGAAAACTAACTTAAAAGAAATTTTCGCTTGAATAAGAGAAAAGAGCATTGTGAGTATTTCTTGGGTATAGGTTTTGATATGAAAAATTTTTAATTGAAAATATTACAATTTTGTTTGATTTTAATTAAATAGATTTATTTTAATTTCATATTTGAAGCTTAATTAAAAATATATTTAAATTCAATATAAGTACATAAAAATTACTTATAAATTAGTTTACTTATTATAAACTTATAATAAACTTATAATGTAAACTTATAATATAAATTTATAATAATTTGTTATCTTAATTAGTAAACACAACAGTACTTCAAAGATAAATTTTATATAAAAGACAAAAACTTTTTACTTTTACAAATGAATTTATTAATATATTATTATCTGATAATTAAATTTATATAAATATTTTTTAACTTCATAATTTTAAACCTAATTATGAATAAATAAATTCAATTGATATTGCAATATTATATACACATATATTATATTATATTATGATATAATACATATTATTATAATATATAACATTGATTTTTTATAGAACTATGTAAGAAGTAAAAATTTAAGACCAATATCGTTTTCGAATGACAAATTTAGATTTGTATCCGATCTATCATTTTTTGCTCGAATTTTGTGCTCCTATCAAACATATTTAGGGTAGTCCCAACATTATTTGATAGCTGAATCTTACAAGGTACACCAAACCGCCAGACCGTTTGTATGCAAGACCTTTATCGGGAATACTTCAGAATAGGGTCCCTATCTTGGTTATATCTCATTATAAAGTAATCTCTTGAAAATGAAAATTGCACTAAAAGTGAATCTCGATTGAAAAAGTTACCCCAGATTTATGAACTGAAAATGTATTACACTTAATTGCAAACTTGATTGATTTTAAAGAAACTATTTTCTTAGTAGAAACTATGGTTTTAATAAAAAGGTTTTTGAACAATAGTGAATTACAGCAACAAAATTTTCATTCTTTTCAACAATGAAGTTTTTAGGAATATCCCTTAAAAAATTTACAAAATTACGAGAAATGCGATTACAACTCTTTTATAAAATAGCTATGTTTCCGATTTTGATTTCTTGGCGAACTATTTCATAAACTGTGTCCTTTCTTTATTTCTTGCCGTCCAATATTTTTACTATTTTTTTCCGCAAATACTTCAATTAAATACTTTCCTCTTCTTTCATCCAGTTCTTTCTTTTCATTTCTCTTTTTTAATCTACATTTTTAGTTTTTTTTTTAACAGTAGCCATAATTTTTTTCTTTAAGAGTAGGAAAAAAATAACATTAAGTCTGATTAAAAGAAATTGGCAGCACTTTTAAAATATGTTAAATGCTTTTATTTGACATATATATTTTTGATTATGTTGTATATAATATGAAATATAAAAATTGTAAACACTAAAAATTAATTAATTTAAATAAAGACAAACAAAATGAATATTAGGAAAGCAATGTTAAGCATTTTTATCTTATATATTTAAATTAATTTAATTATTTATTAATAATAAATGTGACAATTAACAATTGACTGATTTTTGAATTTGACTGCACCAAAACTTAGCTTCACATGTTTTCTTTCGTAAGTTGCGGATATTTTTTTGCTAGCCTGAAAGAAAAAATTACGACTAGTATTATTATTAGTTAAAATAAAACTTACTTATAATTTAATAATTTGTATTTTTTTATAAATCATTGCACGTTATTTTCTATATGCAACAACTGTTATGTTATGAATAATACAACAAAGATTATGTATTAAGTTATTTGAATTTTCTGCGGTTTTCATGCTGAATTATTTTCTTCTAACAATGCAAAACATAATGTCAGCTGTTCACAATTAAAATGTAAACAAAGATAAAAGCTCTACAACTAGAAATTTTTTCATACATAAAAGCTATTTTCCATTCCTAAAGTAACTTGTAAAGTAACTTACTAATGTAAACAACAAAAAGCTCAATTTTACTAAGTAACTTATTAAGTATTAAGTATTACTAGGTACACAAATTTCTTATGTTTGAATTGTCATTATTCACACACATGCATATATGAACATTTTCTTAATTTAATTTCTTATGCCAATGTTTATTGAAATATCTGGCATCGCTGTTTTGTGAACTGAAACACGTACAAATTCTTTCTCTATTGTTATTCGTGTTTCTGGTTGTGGTTGCTCAAAGTTTTGACAACGCAATTGATCAAGAAATTCGAGGAAAAGTGTTCAAATCCCATAATATAAAAAAGATTGTTTATTATCTTTACAAACTTACCGTGAACTTATATATTATTTCATTTCAAATTAATAACATTTTAAATCAAAGTGTGGCCATCGCCGACTGATTAACCTAAAAAAGCAAAAATAAAATGTAGAAATACTCAAGAGAGCAGAAGATCGTCACAGTGAGCAAAATGCAACAGTTCTGCTTTTCAAGTGATATTTAAACATTGTGTCGAAGAATTAAAATAATAATAACTTTAACAAATATTTACAAATAATTTTTAATTGTTTTATTTATATTGTATATTGTATCGTGTGTATCGTGTATATTGTGTATATTAGTTTTTGCTATACTATTTCTATTCGAATAATTTAATTATTGTGTAATGAGCAAAATATAGTTCAACATGAATGGATGGATCCTCCAATGAGATTCTGGAAATTTAAGAATTTTTGAAGCGAATTTATGTAATTCATAAAAACTTATTTCTGTAAAATTATACACACATATTTTTTCGGCGTGAAGTGCAATAAGAGTTATTCTACGCAAAAATGTAAGTAAACCGTGAAAATAGTAAGCGCATGTGTGCAATTTAGAAAGCATTTGATTTCCGTATATTCCGACATAAAAAAGCTTAAAATAGTTTAGCAGCAGGCAAATTCGGTATGAATTCAATATATGTGTAAAATTATTAAAAATATTTGTGCTCTTGGGCTTATATTATTATTCCTGAACATAAGCATTTGCCCAGAACTTTACGATTTGTTTGCGCCTACAACGGAGCAGAATATTTCAGAATGTTTGAGAGATCATTAAAAATACAGCGCAACGCAGCTTTTCGCTGAAATCACAAAATTAAAGTGTATTCAATTTAATAAATATTTTTCAAATTATAAATAATAGTTAAATCATAAAATTAAAATCAGAAATGATCAGTGTTCGTATTGCCCATAAATGTTTACATCTCTTAAAACTCTTAAAAAAAATTAAGTGGGATGTTGACCACCATAAGAAGATCTATTATCCAAAATAGATCACAACTAACCTTCATATAGGAATTAAACTAAGAAATGAGAATCCTACCCAATGTACTTAACAGATTGTATTGTTATGTATACACTGATCAACACACACACATATATATATATATATATATATACAAAAAAAGTTAAAAAGATTTGGAGGATATTGACAACCTTAAGAAGATCTATTAACCAAAACAGACCATAAACTACTTCCATATAGGAATTAAACAAAGAACAATCCTACCTTTTGTACAGGTTGCTTGGGTTCTTATATATACACTCATCTCAACAAAAAATTAAAAACATGTGGAACTTGTTTTGGCGCGATAATGGTTTCTGAAGAAATCCAATCTGTTTACCGATTTTGAGGGATTGTAGTATTCTGAACTTATACTTCTTCTTCTAAGCTATATGCAGTTATAATCTGATACTTAAGATATCAGTCTTTAAAGCTGTATAAATATTCTCATATAGTTAAGTATTTAAATAACAAAAGTTAGAGTAATTTGTAGTTTGGTTAAAATCATTAGCTAATTATAGCATTAAAATTGTTTCTTTTTATTGATTTAAATAGTATTATACATTATCATTATCTATGATCATGCACTCCTGATAATTGCATCCGTCAATCAATGTTTTCGTTTCAAAAATAATAAATAGATTGGCAACTATCATAACAATAGAAAAGTCAATGACGTCTATAAACAACTGACGATGATTATAGAATAATGTAGTATTTTCCACGTCTGCATCGTATCTGAAATCAAGACGATTACTTTATATAGTGTATTTTGTAGATTATATTAAATATAAGAGAGTGCAGACTAGCGCTAATTAGTTACCTATTATCCATAAAAGCATTTCTTCCTAAAATGTACCAAAATTTCAGGTTACCACTATATAACATTATTATTTTAATTTTGTCACAGCACAATTATATTTGAGATAAACTGATTTATAGGCATAACCGACCTACATGTGAACCGAGGTTTGCTTTGAATTACCTTTTCTACATACATTAAGTTTTTTACCATTCCGCTGCCTCTCTCCCACTATGAAGATTCTATCTTTTAAGTACTTATGGAGTCCCAAAATACCTTTTAAGTATCGATTTGCCAGATTGTAATGGCAGTGTACAACTACAAAAAATGGTTTTATTTTCTACAAAAGACAGTTCTATTGCATATTCTTTCTTCAATAATAATAATAACAATAATAACTAATAATAATAATAATAATATAATATCCTATCCTATATTACCCAGCTTATTCTTAATGAATGGAATTTTAGAGTATGCTATTTTTCTTAATTCATTCAGTTGGTTTACTCAGTTTTGCTAATATTTTTCTGTGTATTAGTTTTTCATATATTCTTTGCTATTTTAGGAAGCATCGCTGCATGCCAGTGACATAAATACTATCTTGTTATGGATTAGACTAAATTCTCTTACCATGTTTTACACACGATCAACCCTTCTTAAATCTTCTAACACTTGAATCCAATCCTGACTATTCATTTTAATGAAGATAGTTTCTGCTTGCTATGCCCTCGTATTTGATATGAAAAGTAAAAAGAAATAAATAAATATAAAAAAATAAAATCGGATGTGAACGTTAAAGATCTTGAATTTATGGTGGTAATACCTCATCAGCTAACAAAAACTTGACGGCATTAGAAAATGTAGTCAATAAAGCTTTTAATAGCATTCAATACTAATTGCATACTGAAGGTGATAGGACAAATCTTGTATTTATGATTTCAATGAAATATGTCTTTTAAGATGCATTTCAGCATACACAAATCGAGTCTCTATGGTTCTTCTCTAATAATGTGGAATGATTTTTGTGCATTAGTGCAGGTTAGTTTTAAACTAATTTATCTTCTTTAATACACATATCCCGTGTACGAATTACCTGATCCTACTTCGAAGCATTTCTTTTTGTATCTTGCCATAGTAATGTGGGGCCATAACCCCAGACATCATTCCCAAATTCAGTTTACTCGATTTTAAAGACTGCATATCTTCTGACATTTACGTGTTTAAGAAAATTTCCCATTTTAATATCCAAAATATTGCATAGCTTGTTAAGTAATGAATAATTTTTTATTATTCATATTCTTTATATTTATTTTTATTATTCAAATTTTTTATTATTAAATACATTATTTGTCATCGCACTGATGTTGCTGATATAAGCACAACAACTTACAACAAGACTGATGTTTTAATGTAATTTTGACAACTAAAAAACTTTCCCGGACTTAGTTATGACTCGAACCACAGACTATCTTATCCTGCTTAACGTCTGACGCACTCGATTATTGCCATCGTTTGAATATCGCGTCTTAATATATTCATTATGCCAAAAGATATTTGATATGATCATTTTAGCATCAAACGTATTAATAACTTTTTGTTGCAACTATGACTTATTGTCTATTGTAGATAGATGGTTAGATAGGCCTCGCTCCTCACCAAGAAGAAAGTTATGCCCAAACACATACCTTCAACTGATACCAGCAGAATTCCTCAGAGTTCCAATGAGACGTTCATCGACGCAATATACCGATGCGTGTTTGAGCCGTCAAGGCAGGTATACACGTAAAATTCTGGACCTTCATGTCTGTTGTATAGTTTCTGTGACAAATGAATATTTGTACGCGGATACTAATTTAACTAAAATAAATGAAAAAAACATAAACATTTTTTTTATTTTTTAATGTATTATTATAATTATAGTAGTCCTCACCATAAAGGTACTGAGACTCACATAGACCAAGGTCATAACAATATTAAGGTTTATAACGCGAACCCAGTTGGCTCTGGGTTCTGTCAAATCTTAAATCCTAAAACCAGGAATGTCCACTTTATCTCAGTCCGGAGTTAACCGAGTGAAATAGCGACTTAATAAATGATCAACTGTTTTTTTCGTACTGTCAGTTTTTTAGTTTAATTTAAATAGAAAAAAACGAAAAATAATGTTAAGTTGGGAATTGATTCTGCGACTTCTTACATAGTGATTAGCCGAATCGGCTAATGCTATCGTTCTAAATCCATAAAAGAATTCTCATATCAAAACTCATAAACATAATTTTACTGGTATTATTCACTTAATAATAAAAATTCCAACAAGGAAGTGAATGCACTTTGTAGTGCCGAATTTTGTTTACCTTTAATTAATTAATTTATAAATTTATAAAATAATTAATTAAATTTTATTTTATTTTCAGTTTATCTTTTGACAAAATTATTAAATTTTTTCTTCACTTGAACCTGAACATTTTTTAATGTCTGACTCAATTACTTTAGTAAATAACGTCAAGAATTTTGTACATTTTTCCGGTAGCTCATACACCTAAGGTGGCATAGAGAATACAAACACTTCGTTTAAGAATATCAGTAGCTCATACACCTAAGGTGGGATAGAGAATACAATCACTTCGTTTAAGAGTATCACTAATCTCTATTTATTCTGCAAGTTAATACGAATAGGTTTCGAATAGTAGATTCATTAAAGTGAATATTAAAAATATATCGCAACCAATCCGCGAGAGCAACCAATCAGTGAGATATGTTAATAAAAAGGGAACAATGAAGTTTCTTTGCTGTCTTCTTTTGATTAACAGAATTTATTTAAAAAATGGGAGATTTGTTCCTTAAGCTTTTGCATTTACTGCAGCATTATTGTGCTTCTTACATAAATACGAGTATATTAAACACACTTTTTTCACATACACGCCACATGTCTGTATTAACCAATTTGTATTATGCATACGGTGTTATATGTCAACAACAGCTATATTATCAAGCAAACATATTAAAGTATTACATATCAAATTGTATTGAATTTGATGGATGTACGAGTACGTATGTGAAAAGATAATATTTGAAACAACAAATATTAGACGCCTTCTAAGGGCGCTACGTTAATGAAAAACCAAAATAATACAATACAGTTGAAAAGCATACCTTTCTGCTACAAAATGGAGATTTCCGATTGTAACTATTCTTATACTATCATTAGACATGACTTTAATTTAAGAAAATACTTCGTTTATTCTTCATTAGTGCTGAATGAAAGTTTCTATGCTTTAAGAAAATGTATTGAAACAATCAAAATAAATAAAAATATTCTACTTCATTTACTTCAAAAGAACATATTTTATTCCATTTACTTTAAATGAAATGTTTTACTTCATTTACTTCAAATAAACATATTTTACTTCATTTACTTCCAATGAACATGTGAACATGTTTAATTTCATTTACTCCAAATGAAGATATTTTACTTTATTTACATTAAATTAAGTTATTTTCCTTTATCAATTACAAATGAAGATATTTACTTTATTTACATTAAATTAAGATATTTTACTTTAAATAAAAATATTTCTTATTATTATATAAATAAAATAAATAAAGCAAAGTATTTGATAAAGCAACTATTTGAAATATATATTTATAATCAGATCAGAATTGACATTAAGCAGTAAAAAATTATCATTTGTTTTTAAAATCTTATTTTG